TATGTTATGGTGTATTATCTATTGTATTTTCATCTCATTATTTGTTTTGGAATGTCTGTGGCATTATTGTGATTAGCACAACATCAATTTTCTGTGTGTTGTTTTTTGCTAGTGGTACAGCCAGGTGTGTGTTGCTGTCCCAATAGTCCCATCTTTTCTAGTAGCAGCGCGAAAAGATTTTTACATATTTTTTAGATACGGTTATGGCTTTTTAATATAGGGTAATATCAGATAGGCCTAACCCCTCCATTGGATTTGGTACATGTAAGGATTAAGCTTGCTAATTTTGGAGTTTCATTTGACCAGCTAAAAAAAGAGTTTATGGAGGTGAAAAAAACTGTTTTTTCAAGAGTCTGATAGGTGCACATAAAATTCAAGGTAAGATATTAATCATTATATTATTAATTCTAACAAGTCATGTGAAACAGGTTTTGTCCCAGTTGGAGTGGTCAGATGTTATAGAGAAAAGTAACGGTTCATTATTCTCAGCGTACATTGATTTTAAATGAAGGGTTAGATTGATGTCTGTGTATTTCAGGGACTGGAACTTCCAGGTGAATGGGAAGGAGGTTTTTAAATTTGTGGCCAAACTTGAAGTCATGCTGATGGGAAGGATTTCAGATTTAGAATAGTTTAGAATCTAAAAAATTAGACAAAAGATTAAAAGGTCAGTTCTGCCATTACATTAGAGACAGTAATTGTGGGTTTGAAATATAAAAGAGAATATAATTCCCATAAAATGAGATTTTATGCTGGTGATAACCAAAACATACACCAACAATTGCAGTATTCAACCTATTTTTAAGGAGAAAGACCTCCACCACTAAAACGAATAAAAGGGGTGAAAGAAGACACCCCTGTCTAGTTTCATTATGAAAGGGAGTCATTTATCTTTTAATGATCATGAGTGTACATATTTGAACCGACGAGACATTTTGATGGCCCGATTTGGGAATTCCAGGCCTAATCACAGATTCAAGCATGAAGCAAGCCTGTACTTCCAGGTATGGAGGAACATGTGACCCACTCATCTTCCTTTCATATGTCAGAGTTGGTGCTTGGTTTTTGACCCTGAACTGTCACATGAAAGAGTTCCTCAGCCCTGTGTAAGCACCAACTAGAACAAGTCAGTGCTTACACAAGTTTACTCTCTCCACCTCTACTGGCTAAGTGATAGAAAGGTAAGTGCTGTTGGTGGGTAGGCATTAAATTTAACCTGCTGCGTTGCATAGGTCTGGTTTGTGCTTCCTAAAATCTAGGTCACCAGAGGATTGTCAGGCGTATTTTAAGGGCAGGTTATTCCTTTTCTAACTTTATGATTATAATGCATCTTTAACTTGGCTGCTAAGCATGTCATAATATTCAGCTGAGTTTTCTCTATGAATTAATAACATCAGCTAAGTAGAGTTTTACTGAACCTTATAACACACTTTTCAAACTTTTCTCAGCAGTGTTAATGTGTTCCAAAAAACACTTGAGGTGTAAGTGTAATGCAAGTGCTATTCCTCACAGTGTGTGACGTATGTAGTTATGCAACAGCATCATAGTGATTTGTACAAGGCAAAAAACAGTAGACAAAATCTGGCAGTGTCTCTACAATCTACTCACCTGTAAGAATTTGAACTGCTCCATATAGCAAAGACCCAATAGGTAGAAGATTTCTGCCCTGTCAGAGGTGGATGACCTCTCATCTGAAAGACCCATTATTTCCAGAGCCTGTCTGAAGCTTTCTGCTGCATCCTATTAAATTATGCAAATCAATGAATGTTATGGAACAGAGAATAGATATTAAATGAAGCAGCATAAAGACTCAAGTCTGTTCATCTTCAGCAATAAGTAACTCTGTGTATCTCTACAGCAGATTATAGTGTCTTGCCACTAATGTAAACTATGTTGAAAGGCAACTATAAGCTTTTTTGCTGTGTCCCATTGATATGCTTTTCCTCACTTCCTTTTCTGAAGACACAACTGGAAGTGAGAAATAACCCTTCCAAAGGGAGGGGGCATTGGGTCGATTTACTAAAACTGGAGAGTGCAAAATTGGTGCAGCTGTGCATGGTAGCCAATCAGTTTCTAACTTTAGCTTGTTCCATTAAGCTTTGACAATAAAACCTGGAAGCTGATTGGTTTCTATCCATAGCTGCACCAGATTTTGCACTCTCTTTTAGTAGTTGGGAGTTTTTTCCTCTCTTCCTGTTTTGGTGACAACAAATCTTGAATTTTCCATTTCTTTCTGTCTTAACAAATATGATCACCAAAGGTCACCAAGAGGGTTATTTGCTAAAATGAGTGCAAAATCTGATGCAGCTCTGCAGATAAATCAATCAGCTTCCAGGTTTTACTACCAAAGCTTAATTGAACAAGCTGAGGTTAGAAGCTGATTGGCTGCCATGCACAGCTGCACCAGATTCTGAGTGCACCGGTTTTAGTTAATCTCTCCCCAAGTGTCATGGATCAGTAGTAGAGATGGCCAGATCTATTTGACTACACTCAGGAAACTGCAACCTGACTGAGCATGCTTAAAGTGAGATTCATTTACAGTACAAATCCTTCCAAACACCAGCACACAGCAAGCATAAAAATACAAGTGAACCCAGTGGCAGAATACCTGACTAATAACTAACAAGCAGAAAGCCTAACAACTAACTATATACAATATATACAAAACGGGGAAACACAAAAGAGCAGGGAAAACTGGCGGTGAATGGAGCAGCATACAGGACAGGGGCAGGAGCAGGAACAGGATAACAGCTAGCAGTATCAGACAGTGAGCAAAGCAAAACACTGGAGCAAAAGGGAACTAATAGGGCACAACCTAAATACCCTCCCAGGAGCCAGTATCAGGTGGAAACTGATACTGGCTGCTGGGAGATACTCCCTGGTAGACACTGAAATTACAAACCTTCCGGGGAACCACAGTTCCACTAGCAGGTGATCCAGGTCCTGACGACAAAACAATTAGAAACGGTACTGTAAGTCTTTCCAGAGGGCACACAGACAGCCATGAAACCTGACAAATATATTACTGTTACCTAAATAACAACCCTAATGTCACTTATTTCTTAAGATTTATTACGCTCACAGCACCTCTTCTATATCATTGATTTATAATATGTACAACTACAGATTCTATTCAACATGTATAAAAAAAAACTACACTGCACCTGAGCACCACAAATCAGAAACACAATTTAACTAATTTTTAATATGCAAAGCAAACTCCCCCATCCATACATGTCTCTATGCTTTATTTTGCTAAGAAATCACTTTGAACCCTCCCCCCCCCCTGGAAATTTCTGCCCATGGCCATCTTGAGTAAGGGAAGATGATTCATGTAGCATTCACTTCCTGGGATCCATCTGCCCTTAACTCTACAGGCAGATAGGAAGGTATACTTAGCTGAGAACCCCCCCCCTTCCGAAGACTGCTGGGATATTTGATGTAATTTGCCTATGTCAGGAATGGACTTGCCAGTAATGGTGGGACTCACCTGCCCGATGTGCCAGTCTTTGATATCCCGCCAGTTACCAGACCCGGGCGGTGGAACATTTTGCCCAGCTAGGACTGTTTGGAGCGCCCTGAGGCCGCTCCTTGAGGGGGGGGGGGGGGTACTGTCAGGAATGGACTTGCCAGTAATGGTGGGACTCACCTTCCTTGTGGGCTGCAGTACCAGGGCTGGCCAGCGGGTGCTCCCAGCAATCAGAGACTCAACCTTGCAGCCAGCCAAACACCTGAAGCTGATTATGCAGGTGTATTTAAGGGATGGCCAGACCTGCAGTCTGGGCCTTGGTGTGTGTTTTTCCTGGGCCCCTGTATCTTGTTACCTGCATCCCTGTCCCTGTCCCTGTCTGACTGATTCGTTGCTGACCCTGCCTGATCCGGACCTCTGCTGACTTCTCCTGTTCGATCCCTGGCTTGTGACCCCGACTACTCTCTGCCTGCTCCTCCTGTTCCTACCTGCCCGATTGTTATTGACCCGGCCTGCCTGACGACGCTTGCATTGTATGTATTGTTATCTGTGGGTGGTTTGGTTCGTTTGCACTGTGTTATGTTTTAGCATTGCACTGCGTTTATGTATTGTTAGTGTTAATAAATCGTATTGTTTATAACATATCTGAAGCCTGCGTTTCCCTGCGTCAGTTCACATACCTCTGGTCATACCCGGAGCCCTGACATTACACCAAGGCCAATCCTGACCAGAAGTGGCTGCACAGGGAAGCCATCTTGGCTTGTTGCTGGGAAGGATGGATCTTGATGAGGTTGTGTATTTGTCGCTGCTGGTTTTTGATGACAGAGAATATGCTTATCAGGCTCTGAGGGAGTATACCCGGGATCAACTGCTAGAATGCATATGGATCGCTCATGTCCTAGTAGATCAGGGCACAGAGTTCTCTGAGGTGCAACCTTTGATTCAGGTTTGTGTAGAGTTGGCTTCATCTGGTACCCCTGAAAGCAGGAATGACTTTTTGCCACCATTTAGTGCAGACCAGATAGAGTCCCTGGTATGGTTATTAGAGGATGATGTGGATTGCTTCTTGGAGCATTATGCTGCATGTTCACCACAGATACTAAGAGATTGTAAAAACGCAGTGCAGTCTTTGGTCAGACAGGCTTTGTGTAAGCTGAGCTTTGTTCAACCCATACTGCAGACATGGTCAGACTTGTTGCACCCAGCCTCAGTCAGCTTGCAAAAACCCAGTCCTGCTTCTAATCTATTTCTTCAAAGCTCTATTCCTGCATTCCCAACAGCACCTCCAGTTACAGCCCAGTATACTCTGCTATCTACCGCATGTCAGTCCCCTGTTCCCACTTGCTGCACCTATCCTGCCTTTAACCCTGTAAAGAAGCCCTCTGTAGCAACTGTTCCCTCCCCTGTTCCATCCTCCAGCTCTTCTCTGTCTCCAGCTGCTCCATCCGTTTACAAACCTGCGCTTACTTACAGTGCTCCAGTAACTAAAACCAGGAAAAGGCGAAAGTTCTTTCCAACCAATACCATCCTGCCAGTATCCAAACCGGTCAGCCTCCCATCTGAGAACCTGCCTTCCGTGGTGCAGCCTGGTGCTTCGGCGCCCACAATTCAGCCTGATGCCTCCACCCAGCCTGATGCCTCCACCCAGCCTGATGCCTCCATTCAGCCTGATGCCTCCATTCAGCCTGATGCCTCTACCCAGCATGATGTTTCTACCCAGCCTGATGAACTGATCCAGCCTGATGATCCTATTATGCCAGTTGACTCCGATGCCTGCTGTCGAGCCAGACAATCCCATGCCTGATGACCCAGTGCCCACTGTCGTGCCTGGTGACTTGGTGCCCACTGCCTTGCCAGATGACGCGGTGCCCGCTGGCGAGCCAAATGGCCTGATTCCTGTCGCCCCTCCTGGGGACCCGGTGCCCGCCGCTCCACCTGGGGGCCCGGTGCCCGCCGCTCCGCCTGGGGGGCCCGATGCCTGTCGCTCCGCCTGGGGGCCCGATGCCTGTTGCTCCGCCTGGGGGCCCGATGCCTGTTGCTCCGCCTGGGGGCCCGATGCCTGTCGCTCCGCCTGTGGGCCCGATGCCCGCCGCCCCTCCTGGGGGCCCGCCGCCCCGCCTGGGGTCCCGGCGCCCGCCGCCCCGCCTGGGGGCCCGATGCCTGTCGCTCCGCCTGGGGGCCCGATGCCTGTCGCTCCGCCTGGGGGCCCGATGCCTGTCGCCCCTCCTGGGGGCCTGGTGCCCGCCGCTCCGCCTGGGGGCCCGCCGCCCCGCCTGGGGGCCCGATGCCCGTCGCTCCGCCTGGTGGCCCGGGGCCTGCTGCTCCGCCTGGTGGCCCGGTGCCTGCTGCTCCGCCTGGTGGCCCGGTGCCTGCTGCTCCGCCTGGTGGCCCGGTGCCTGCTGCTCCGCCTGGTGATCCGGTGTCCAGCCCGATGTGCCGCTGCCCTGAGTCCAGCCCGATGTGCCGCTGCCCGGAGTCCAGCCCGATGTGCCACTGCCCGGAGTCCAGCCCGATGTGCCGCTGCCCGGAGTCCAGCCCGATGTGCCACTGCCCGGAGTCCAGCCCGATGTGCCGCTGCCCGGAGTCCAGCCCGATGTGCCGCTGCCCGGAGTCCAGCCCGATGTGCCAGTCTTTGATATCCCGCCAGTTACCAGACCCGGGCGGTGGAACATTTTGCCCAGCTAGGACTGTTTGGAGCGCCCTGAGGCCGCTCCTTGAGGGGGGGGGTACTGTCAGGAATGGACTTGCCAGTAATGGTGGGACTCACCTTCCTTGTGGGCTGCAGTACCAGGGCTGGCCAGCGGGTGCTCCCAGCAATCAGAGACTCAACCCTGCAGCCAGCCAAACACCTGAAGCTGATTATGCAGGTGTATTTAAGGCAGTGTTTCTCAACTCCAGTCCTCATGGACCCCCAACAGGTCATGTTTTCAGGATTTCCATTATTTTGCACAGGTGATTTGATCAGTTTCACTGCCTTAGTAATTACCACAGCTGTTTCATCTGAGGGAAATCCTGAAAACATGACCTGTTGGGGGTCCATGAGGACTGGAGTTGAGAAACACTGATTTAAGGGATGGCCAGACCTGCAGTCTGGGCCTTGGTGTGTGTTTTTCCTGGGCCCCTGTATCTTGTTACCTGCATCCCTGTTCCTGTTCCTGTCCCTGTCCCTGTCCCTGTCTGACTGATTCGTTGCTGACCCTGCCTGATCCGGACCTCTGCTGATTTCTCCTGTTCGATCCCTGGCTTGTGACCCCGACTACTCTCTGCCTGCTCCTCCTGTTCCTACCTGCCCGATTGTTATTGACCCGGCCTGCCTGACGACGCTTGCATTGTATGTATTGTTATCTGTGGGTGGTTTGGTTCGTTTGCACTGTGTTATGTTTTAGTATTGCACTGCGTTTATGTATTGTTAGTGTTAATAAATCGTATTGTTTATAACATATCTGAAGCCTGCGTTTCCCTGCGTCAGTTCACATACCTCCGGTCATACCCGGAGCCCTGACAGCCTAGGCCTGAAAACCAGGAAGTAACTGAAGAAATGTAAATAAGTTTAAAACAAATAAACATGATATACTATCCTATCTATTACTAATACTAGCATCATAAGGATTAAAAATAGTCAATGTTGACTGAGAGAGTAAACTTCCACTTTAAACGCAAAAAAATAAAAAACAATGCAGACAGGTAGGATTTTTAGGACAGGTGAGACCCTATTGGTCTTTTCTGTCATAAGTGCTTCTCCCTGCCTGTCAGCAGTAATTTACACCGAGCCACACTTGCATAGGTCAGCTTACATTTGCAGCACCACTCCATGCCATGACAATGTGACTCCTATGCGCATACACAGGAGTGACGTCACTGCAAACCGGCCAATCAAGCAGCCAATGTGTCCAAACCAAGAAGACAGACTGGAAGACGATGGAAGCGCCCGTGACAGGTGATTGTTCTTACACCGCAGCGCTGGAGGGGATTGCTTGTCAGGTCAGTCTGTCATAATATGTGTCTATATGGTGCATACTTGTACACAATGGCATAGAGCTCCCAAGGGGCCATTTTTAAAAAAAAAATTTATGCAGAGGTTTATTTCCACTTTAAGGAAATACTGTTACACTGTAAAACATTTCATACAAGCTACAACTGTTATTGTGTCACAATCTTATCAAAATGTATATGACACTATGCCACTGCTAAAAACACCTTCACATTTATTGCATGTGACATTTCAAGCCTGCACTGTAGGGTAGACCCCTGGTTGCTGTAGACATGCATGATGTGTCATTAGATATTAATGTCTGCAATGTCAGAATTGCCGTCTGTATCAGTCATGAAACTTGACAATTTCATGTAGAAGGGTATTCCTTAAAGTTGAACTATAACTAAAATAAAAAATATATATATATATATACCGTATGATGAATAAAGCCAGTTTTATTTTATTTTTTTTTCAATGCTGAGCTTATATATGTGTGACTTAAATATTTTCCAAAAGAAGAAAACAGCTGCTGTAACTAAAAAAGTAACTTAAAAAGTGCAAGCTGGAGTTAAAGAAGACTGAGATCTTCAGCCTCTTTTATTGGCTGGGCCAGAATGATGTAACTGCTGTGCATGTGCACAGGAGTTCATTCATTCCAGCGATGAAAATGGAAAGTGAGCTGTGACATTTTACAGAAGATTATAACTTTGCAAGTAAATTTTTTTTTTGTTTTTTTTAGTAGCTTGAGGTGTAGCAAGAGCTAATCCAGCTGGAGTCACAAAGCAGCAATATGGTACAGCAAGAAATCCAGAAGGGACACAGGATGGTGGAAGTTGGAAGTTCCAGCCTCTACGCAGCTGTTGCTTCAAATGTACAGACTAAGCCTTTGTGAAGGAAAGCTCCCTTCTGCACAATCACATGTAGGGTCATTGTGAGGGTTGGTGTTGGGATTACAGGGAGGGTTATTTTGAAGGCTAGTGTTAGAGTTACAGGAAGGGTTAATCTAAATACTGCTGTTAGGGTTATAGGACGTGTTGTGTAAGAGTTAGTGTTAGGTATATAGGGGGTGTTATCCAAACACTCTCAAGCTCAAACCAAGGTGCTCCTCACAATAACTTAGCATGTAATGCTCACTTGATGCAGCCCTCCTCAGATCAGATCATCTTCAAAAAAACTACAAAAACACACAAGAGGGTGCACACGCCTAGAGCATTACCACCATAGACATTTATTCAATAAAAAAATTATTACATATTCACAAACATAAATAACAGCAGGCATATCAAGCAGCAACAACTCCAGCCGTAGGAAATGTCATTGTCAGGAATGGACTTGCCAGTGGTGGTGGGACTCACCTGCCTTGTGGGCTGCAGTACCAGGGCTGGCCAGCGGGTGCTCTCAGCAACCAGAGGCGCACTCCTGCAATGAGCCATCACCTGAGGCTGATTACAGCAGGTGTATTTAAGGAATGGCCAGGCCTGTGATCAGTGCCTTGGTGTATGTTTCCCATGAGCCCCTGTACCCTGTGCATTCTGTCTGCTTCCTGCCTGATCCTGATTCTGCTTTAATCCTGACTCTGCATGAACTCTGCCTGTCCTGACCTCGGCTATTCCTGACTACGCTTCCGCCTGCTCCTTGTACCTTGCCTGCCCGTTTGCTACCGACCCAGCCTGCCCAACTACGTTTAGTATTGTTCTTATTATCTGTTGGAGGTTTGGTTGCACTGTGTTTATGTTTAGTCTTGCACTGCATTTATGTATTGTTTAGTCTTTAATAAATTGTATTGTTTATACTATACCCGGAGCCTGTGTTTCCCTGTGTCAGTCCACACATTTCTGGTCATACCCGGATCCCTAACAGTCATCTAATAGTATACCACACAGTTGGAAGGCTAATGTTTCGGGAGCTAATTCAGCTCTGAAGAAGAGTTTGTAACTCCAAAACATGTTAGCCTTCACGCCTATGGCTGGATTTGCTGCTGTTTGATATGCCTGCTATTACTTATGTTTGTAGTATGTAGTCATTGTTTAATTGAATTCATGCCTATGAGTGTAATGCGCTAGGCATCTGTTTTTATACAGGGAGTGTTAGTATGAGGGTTACAAAAAAGGTGTTAGGAATACAAGAAGAATTAGTGGGAGGATTAAAGTGCGGGTTATTTTGAGAGAGGGTTACAGTGAGAGTTAGCGTGTGCATTAGTATTACAGATACAGGAAGAGTTTATTGTAAGGGTTTGGGTTATAGGGAATGTTAGCATTAGAGTCATTGAGAGGGTTAAGCTGATAGTGTTAGAGTTACAGGAAGGGTTACTGTGAGGGTTAGGCATACAGAGAGTGTTAATATTAGGTATACAGGGAGGGTTAGTGTGATGGTTATTGTTAGGGTTACATTGAATTTTAGTACTACTGTTACTAGGCAGGTTATTGTAAGTGTTACAGTTATCAGGAGGATTAGTACTACAGGGATAGTTAGTTTATGGGGGGCCTTGGTTTTGGTTTATGCTCTCTGCAACGGTAATAATAAAGTGAGGGTTATTATGATGGAGGGTTACAGGGAGGGGTTGTGCGATGGTTAGTGTGAGGGATAGAATGAGAGTTAGTGAGAGGGGTAGTGATATGTTTCCAAGAAGGGCTGGTGTGAGAGTAAGTGTTAGGGTACATAGAGGGTTACTGTGAGTGTTTGTTAGTATTGGAGATACAGAAAGGCTCTAGTGTAAGAGTTGGGTATAGGGAGCATTAGTGTTAAGGTTACAGGGAAGATTAGTGTTAGGGTTATGGGGATGGTTAATGTTAAGGTTACAGGGAGCGTTTAGTGTGTTAGGGTTACAAGGAGCGTTTCATGTAAGTGTTAGGGTTACAGGAAGCATTGAGTATGTTAGGGTTACAGGGAGCATTTTGTGAGTTAGGGTTACAGGGAGCATTTAGTGTAAGTGTTAGGGTTACAGGGAGCATTTAGTGTATGTGTCAGGGTTACAGGGAGCA